TAGTTAAAATTGCCAACACCAGTTTTCATGAAAGTAACAAATTCGTATACTAAAGTGGATCAAATTAATGACAAAAATTTGAATTTTTCAATTTGATTTTTGACTTGCTCCACATTGTTGGTATCAATTCGATGCAATTTGAAAATTGAAACTTTTAATTTAACAGTTTAATAAATTAATAGTAAAATAATTTTATTTATTTTACCAAGGGTATAAATTAAAAACTAATATTTTTTCACCCATTTTCTTATGATACAATTAAAAACTAATATTTTTTTTACCCATTTTCTTATTTAGTTACTTCCTAATTCGGAAAATCTGCAAATTTTCACCTAGGGAGTAAAATGACCCTATTATTTTTCTTCCATATATTATATACCGGCCCCGAAGAATGAAATGTCATGAAAAATTTTTGTCACGGATGTGACGTCATGGATTGGTAACTACCTTTCCTGTGCTGGCCAATTCTCGTTTTCAGCGAATGCATTCATGTATTCCGAGCAGGTCTCATTCAATGACGAGTGGATTGTGCAGAATGCGGTACGACTAAATGCGAATAACCCGTCAAGAGAGAGAGAGAAAGAAAGAGGGGGAAGGAGGATTTGATTTTTATCAAATATTTTCGACACACTATCCGTCACACCGGATATAACTTGATAATCAAGATATCAGTATATACTTTCAAAAAGAATAAAGAGGAAATCTATAATTAACACTGTTTTTTGCATTTTTATTTTCGTAACAAAAGAAAAAAATACGGTCTAATTATTTTTAAGTATTTTTGTAGTTTTGTATTTTTCTACTCTTGTAATTTGTATTTTACTATTTTCGTAAATAATTGTTGTAAATTTTATTAACTCTTTGAAGATAGAATTTTTTTAACAAAAGGTTAGAGAAGAATCGTATTTTTTTTATTTTGTCTTTTGTCTAGGAAATTATGAAAATTAATACTTTTTTCAACTTATTTTTAAAAATTGCTACTTTTTCAATTTTTTTCAAAATATTGCAACAAAATACCACATTTTTAGTATAAAATGCAACTTATTTCGATTTTTATAGTGCAAAAAATAACTATAAGCAAATATCTTTCAAAAATTATTTTTGAATAATTTTTTAAGATACCTAATTAAATTTTTCAAATATATCTATGAGAAATAAATCTTTTTGAATAATATTGAAATTTTGTAAAATTTAATTGGAAATAATTAATTTTTTTCAAGTATTTTGTTACAATTTTTGAAAATCAACTTTTGACAAATTTTAATTTACAAATATGGAAAATAATGATGAATTATCAAAAATTTTAATGAAAAATCTTTAAATGTAAATTTAAAAATGAAAATTAGCTTCTAATTTTTAAAAATTTAATATTTTCAGTATTTTCAATTAAATATTTTCGAAAATTTAAATACGTCCAAAAAATAATAACATTTTTAGAATTATTTTTAAAAATTTGAAAAAAAATCTTGTTTTATATTTTTAATTAAAATTCATCAAAAAATTAATTAGTTTTTTTAAATTATATACAAAAATTCTTTTAAGAAATTCAATTATTTTCAAAAAATTACATTAAAATATTTTTAAAAACTAATTCTTAGAATTATTTTAACATAATTTTTTTTAGATTCAATTATCTTTGAACAAAGTAAATAAAAATTTATATAAAATATAATTTTCTTACTGTTTTAGATTTATTAAAATTTCAGAGAAATTATGGTTCTATTTGTAATTAAAATTCTTCTTTTAATTTTTTTATTAATATTTTTCTAAAACTTAATTATTTTTAAAACATTTTAAAAAAATTATTTGTAAGAATTTTTTTTATAACTTTTTAAATAAATTATACCTTAATAACTTAAAAGAAAGGAAAGTTACAATTTATTGTAAACAAATGAGTTTTATATTTAAATAATTGAATTCTAGAAGAACTTTAGGAAAATTATTTAAAATAATTGATTTAGAGATGAAGTTTAGTTGAAAATTGTAGAAAATAATTGAATTCAGGAAAGGTTATATAATTATTTTTATTTTTTAGAAATTATTAAAATTCATCAATTTTACTCATTTTCTGTAAACTCTCCTTTTTTCCTGTAAAAAGAATTTTGTCAGGGAAAATAATTCCAATGTCAGTAAATTATTGTCAGGGAAATGTTAGAGAAATATACTTCATAATTTTTAGGGTAGAAAAAGGATCAATTTTACCCCCTAGTGCTAAAAACTGTCGTTTTCCCTCCCAAAACTAAGTTAATAAACTTTATAAACTAGATTTTACTACTTCTAGGGTGGAAAAGGATCAATTTTACCCCCTAGTGTTAAAAACAGCCATTTCTCTCCCAAGACGAAAAAAATTCTTATTTTCATTGGATAAAGATGGCATTTTTCACTTCCTCTTTTCAAAGAATATTTTTCTTCCAAAGATGAACAAAAATTTACCATTTTTCTCGAAATAGAAATTTTATCGCTCTTTTCCACTATACATACAAACAAATCGATATAAAAAATGTAATTAAATTAAATTAAAAATAAAATGACCGCGGGAATAAATGGAGAATATTTGCCGAAGACTCTATGAGTGAATAGCAAACCCAGTGCACTGACCCCGCCTTCTTTGCTTCCGCGATATATAGATATAATGTTAAAAAAATGCCTTGAACCTGAAACTGTTCTCAGAACTATTAAAAGGGATAAATGTAATTAAATATATATATTCTCGCGCGCATACTGTCTAGCAATTAGCGTGTGCTTGGGTTCGTGTATATAGCGATCAAATAACTGAGATTATTACTTTTCCCTTCGCTGATGATGTGCATATATATATATATATATATATATACAAATGTTTCAAAAAAAAAATATATATATATATACAAATGCTATGAAATATATATATGTATATACAATGTGCATATATAGCATAAATGCAATGGTGCGAACTTTGCGTGTTCGCATTCTACTTATCACTGGTGCACAGTCAAATGACTGTCATATAATTATGTCACTGACAGTTACTATGAACACGTAATAAGATCTCGAAATTAATTTTACCTTTATGCATAACTATAATTCAATGAGCATAAATTATATGTAAGATATTATCTTCATTTTGAAATATTGCATATTAATTTGAAAAATAAAATAAAACTCCGCTTGAGACGAAGTCTGTACATAGTGCAATAAGTCTTCAAATCGCACTTTTTTCGCCTTTGAAAAAACTCCAGTATGTTATTAGACCTAGGGCAAAAAATCACCTCTTTTTACACTATACAGAATTTATTCTGTTAAATAGATATTATTTCTGTTAAATAAATATTATTTCCGTTTAATAAATATTTAACTTTTTAACGTTTTCTAAACTTTTTTTAAAAGTTTTTGTTACAAGGAGTCATTACTAAGAAGCAATTTAAATGTAAAACTAAAGAATAAAGAAACGTTTCATACTCCTAGGGAATAAAACGACTGTTTTTAGCACATTAAAATTAAATCACCCTTTTCATACTGGAAAGTAAAATAAATTATTTTTATTAATTTTAATACTAAGAAGTAAAGGAACCACATTAAATTATTCTAGGAAGTATTACTTTACTTCCTAGGAAGTAAAATGACTTTTTTAGCCCTAGGGAATAAAGTGGCTGATTCTATCACTAGGAAGTAAACTGACCACTGTTGCCATTTTAAAGTAAATTAATCGTTTTTAACACTAGGTCGTTTTTAATACTAAAGTAAACTAATTTTTTTAACACTTAATAGTAAAGTGATTGTTTTTATCACTAGAGTCTAAAATAACCCCTTTTAACACTAGGGGCTAAAATTACAAGTTTTGAGACTAGGTGAACGGGAATTAATACAAGACAATAATAATAAATAAGTAATAAATAATAGAATAAAGTGAAACTAATTGTAAGTTTTGGATGTAAGAAAAAGAATTTGTCCTGTTTGATGATTCGGAAGTAGTTTACAAACAATTAGACAAATTAATTACAGAGAGGAAGTCGATACACTTGAAAGAATTCAAAAGCAGATTTCCCTTTTTCTTCCTCATTAAAAAAAAATCAGATCCTGTGTATAACTTTAAAAGGTCTTGACGAGAGAAGAGCCTCAACCTTCGTTTCACTGTTGTGTCCGCCTCTTTTATTTCTGAATGAAGTTCATTGCATCGAACATCTATGCATAGAGAGTCAGGTGAGCGTGACGTTGAAACGCCCTGTGTACTCGCTGAGCATGACGACTGTTGGCAATTATTTGGATTCATTACGAGCAGGAAGGCAACTTCCCTTCTTGTATATACATATAGATTCAACTATGAAGAGAATGGAAAAACTATATATATATATATATATATATATATATATATATTTTATGGGAAATGGAATCCAACGAACCCCAACGAGCTGGTAAACGTCTCTTCTTCTTCTTCTTTTTCGTCTTCTTCTTCTTTATTTATATTTTAGAAAGTGAGGAAGGGATGAAGTAGTGGGATTATTGCAAATACGAGAATGAATTCACTCTTTTGAAGGTATTAAGCAAAGAAATGAAGAAGAAAAGACGAATGCCAGGGAAAGAAAAAAAGGAGAGGAATAATGTTTCGTTACATTCTGCTGGGGTTATTCACTCTCGCACAAAAGGCCGAATGCATATCGGATCTTAAGATCTTAGAATTTCGTGGGATGTCTCGAGTTTCGTGTTTGTTTGAAGACAGTAATAAAATTTCGATCAGGGAATTCGATTGCGATGTTAGTTTCTCACTCATGGACCATTTTATTCGTTTTCGACTATTTTTATCTATACAATATTGTATCTATACAATTGTACATACATATATAATTGTTAAGAAGATAAATTTCAATTTTTCACAAATTTCTATTAATTTGTAATATTTATTAATTTGTATCACTATAATTATTATTTAAGTATTTACAACTATAAATTCTATTTATTGTGCACCTAAATGCTGTAATTAGGATTTAATTAATAATGCTCCAATTTTTCTCTTCTTTTTTTAGGATTCTCACGGCCTTGAGGAGGCGAATACTGCACCAGTGACGGATGTATCACAAGATGTTGAAATTGTCGATGGCTATCAAAACGAGACTCACACGACGATTATCTTCTCGAGAAAGTGGGAAACGTGTGATCCAGAGGATAAGCCATTAAATGTAAGCTTTATTGTATTAGGTGATTTCAAATTTTATTTTTATGTCAAATTGTCAACTTAGAGATGGGAAGAGAAAAGAATTCTTCTTCTCTTGACATTCTATATGCTCTTAATCCCTTGAAGTAACATGTTCAAAATTCTTTTTATTTTATTTATATATTTATTTATTTTATTTATATTTATTTATATATTTTATTTATATTTATTTATATATTTTATTTATATCTATTTATATATTTCATTTATTTTATTATCATTGTAAGAAAAAAATAAATAAAATATAAAAGTAGAAATAGAACGAAAAAATGTAATAAAAATGAATTCAAGACCAAGGGAGAAAATACTTCTGATTTTTGGTCCTGGGAATGAATCCCAATTTTTTAATACTTACTTCCTAGGGAGTAAAATTTCTCATAAATATTAGTTTACTTCCAACTACTAGGACATGTTATTTTATTCCCAAATACAAGGAAGTATTATTTACTTAAAAGTTAAAAGTTCTAAAATGAATTACTTTGCTTCCAAGTATCAGGAATTATTTTTTGCTCCAGGATTAGGAAGTAGGAAGTACGACTAAGGACTAGGTAGTCTAGAAAGTATTAATTTACTTCCAAGTACTAGGCAGTAATAATTTAATTCCAAGTACTAGGAAGTATTATATACATAACAAGAACTAAAATTTATTAATTTACATCCAAATACTAGGAAGTATTGTAGGTCCCAAAGACAAGGAATTATTAATTTACATCCAAGTACTAGAAAGTCTTATTTATTTAAAACATTACAGGTACTAGGAAGTATTAATTTACCTGCAAGTACTAGGAAGTATTTTAGACCCCAGGGACAAAGAAGTATTAATTTACATTCAGGCACTAGGAAGTATTAATTTACATCCAAGTACTAGGATTAATTAGTAGTATTAGTATTAGTTTTAGTATTAATTTACATTACAAGTACTAGGAAGTATTAATTTACCTGCAAGTACTAGGAAGTATTATTTAAATTACAAGTACTAGGAAGTTTTTGCTCCCAATGACTAGGAAGTATTAATTTACATCTAAGTACTAGGAAGTATTAATTTACTTCTAAGTATTAATTTACTTTTTACTCCTTGTGTGCAAAAGAATACTTCCTAGTACTTGGGAGTAAAATATGTTTTGATTATAAGTAATAAAATGTATTATTTTGCTCAAAAGTACTAGAAAGTCGTTATTTGCTTCCAAGTACTAGGAATAATTTTTTTTGCTACCAGCACTAGGAGAAATTTTTCTATTTCGATAAGAAAAATAATTGTTTTAAATTATTTATTGTTTATTTCATTTTTGTTTTTGTCTGCATTATTAAGAAAATTGCAAATTAATGCCCGTAATAATAAGAAGGATATGCATGTAATTCGAAAAGTAACAACGCGAAATTAGAATATTTCGCGAGAACATTCCCTTTGCCTCAATGATTTATAATTCATGTCCGATTGGGAATTTCTCAGGGCCCTAAAAGACCCTAGGAGGCCGGCATTCCCGCGGCGACATTTAGGCGTTTTAGCATGCCGTCTTCACCCTTTGAGACAGCGGGATGCCACCGATTCAAAAGCGCGGACCCAAAGAAATCGGGCCCCTATTAAAATACTTCTAATCGAGTATCAAGCGCCCCGATTTTACTCTTGCTTTTATCATTATAACCGCCACCACTACTAGCACTACTACTAGCACCACCACTACTTCTACTATTATATTTGTCTACTTCTACTACTAACACTACTACTAGTAGTAGTATATACTACTAATATAATTATAAAACTATTATTACCACCACTAGAAATATTACTACTACTACTTCGACTATTACAACTTTTTCTACTATTACTACTATTCTACTACTACTACTACTTCTTACTACTAATAGTTGATACATTTTATAGCAGTTATTCTGCTACTACTAATAAAATTATAAAACTATTATTACCACTACTTCGACTGTTACAACTTTTTCTACTATTACTGCTATTCTACTACTTTTACTACCTTTGCTACTACTGCTTCTACTAGTAGTGTTAGTATTGCCAACAAAATTATTACTAGTACTTCTTTACTACTATTTTTAGTAGTAGTACTGATGGAATTGTTATTATTACTACTACTGGTGCTTGTAATAGTAGTAGTCTTATTGGTATTACTATTAGTACTAGTAGTAGTGATAGTAACCGTGGTGGTGTTATTACTTCTGCTAGTAGGGATGACATTAGTTGTAGTGGTATTATTACTAAAAACTATAGTAGTAGTCTTAGTGGTATTACTATTAATACTAGTAGTAGTGATAGTAGCCATAATGGTGTTATTACTTCTACTAGTAGGAACTACTAGTTACTACTACCACTACTACTAGTACTGACAATAGTAGTATTTTTAATATGTTTAATTTTTATTTTTCGTTTCTTTCTTTTTTTATTCTTTCATATATTTTTTTTTCTTCTTTTTTTCCTTAACAAAAAAAATCTCCTCTTCCCTCGTGTATAAATATACTTAGAAATCGCAATATTAGATTCTTTAATGCATGACTGACGCTCGTATTCTGTATAATTTCAGGGAGATACGATTAGAGTACTCTGGGCAATGCATCCCAGCGATCCTGAATTAAACTCGGCGGCTTTTCATGGTGAAAAACGCGGTGGTAGGGCCCTACGTCTTAGGGCCCCTGCACCACATCCCCCTCCTCCACCCAGGAGTCCTGACGTTCAATTCTGGGATATTAAACTCAACCAGGTTTGTAATGAAGCTCATTAATCTTTTTACTGCGAAGAAGAAACGAATGCAATGGAAAATTATTAACAAAATATTTTTCTTCTTTTTTCAATTCAAAAAAATCGTTGAAGCATTGAAATTAAAATTAAACGAGAACAATCAATATCATTTTTTTTATTTATTTGTTTATTTATATGTTTACTCATTTTTTGATTTGTTTGTTTCTTTATTTATTTACTTATTTTTTTATTTATTTGTTTCTTTATTCATTTATGTATTTACTTTTTTTTTTATTTACGTGTTTATTTATTTAAATATTTACTTATTTTTTTATTTATTTATTTGTTTCTTTGTTCATTAATTTTTTTAATTCATTAGTTTATTTATTTCCTGTCTTTTTTTACTTTCTTGTTCACTTATTTAGTTATTCATTTTCTTTTTTGTCTACTTATTTATTAACTTATTTATATTTATTTCTTTTTCTTTTTTTTCTTTTTTTACATATTTTTAAATTATTTTAAAAATAATTTTTCTATATTTATTTATTCCTTTGTTTATTTGTTTCTTTTTCGTTTGGTTAATAGTTTTTAATTAATTGCTAATTTTGTATTTGAAAAATTAAAAATATTTGTTTGTGTTTGTATTTTTGATATTTTTTTATAATTAAAATATATTAAAATATTTTTTACTAATATTTGTTTTTAGTTTGCCGTCTCTGACACAACGGACACTGAATATTGGTGTAAAATTTTTAAAGCTCCAATGGTTGAGAAGCATCACATGATTGGGGTAAGTCAGACTAAACTTTTTAATAATTTTTTTCTTTAATTTATTTTTCTATTAAGTTTTTATCAATTCAAGTTTTTTTCACACAATTTTTCTAAGGATATCAAATTGAGACAAAAAACGAATAGAAAGCGTTGCGAAGCAACATTTTTGATTCGGTTTTTGTCTCAATTTTATTTCCTTAGAAAAACTGTGAAACTCAAAATTTTACTAAATTGAATTGTTAACAAGAAAAATTGTTTTTTTCCAATTATTTGTTAATTTTAACTCAAATTTTGTACAAAGTAACTTGAAAATTAACAGTAAATTCATAGTAAGTTAGTAAATTAATAGTAAATTAATAAATTACCTTACATTAAAAAAAATAGAATTAAAAATAGTTTCCTTTTTCTTAAAAATTAAAAAATTAAATTTGACGCCTAAATTTTTTTCAATATTGTAAAACAATAAATAAGAAATAAAATCTAACGGATGAGTAACTTGTCACTAAAATGGAAAGAGACACTCGATTTAAAGTTGTGAAGTGATGTCACTGGTATTAAGCCGAAAACGTTTACAGACTGTCAATGAGATATATACCAAAAAAAAAAAAAAAGAAAGAAAGAAATAAAAAAAAGAAGAATTGGAATCAAGGATCAACCCGTTCTCGATCTTGCTTTGTCCACACGAAACTTTTAGAATGCTTAATGTACCTGTTGGTCTGTTATCTTTTCATCGATGAGCGTTAGGCGATCTTTATGATCCATAAATTATGTCACACTTTCTTGTAAATCACTGCCAATGCTTGAAATTTTTCACCACAACATAAACTTGTAGACGAAAATGATTTTTTTTTCTTCCTTTCGAAATAACAGCTGCCGAAACTAAATAAGATTTTTAGTCTGATAAACAAAAAAAAAGAATCTATTTCCATGTTCTCCTTTTCTGACGTAATATTTTTTTTGAAAAATACCTATTTTTAATTGGTTACTCATCTTTCGATTATTTTGAATTTTCTGTAAAAGCAAAAATAGGGAGAAATTTTTCAAATGAGTGACAAAAAAAAATTTGTCTGTATTTCAATTTTAACATTTTTTTTAAAGTAACAAAATTTTATTTTTTTATGGAAAGATGATTTTTAAAAATTCTCTTGGTACTTTATGGAAAGAACAGATTTAAAAAAAAAGTATGACAAAAAGTAAGGGACGCGTTGAACTATATAAATAAGTAAATTGGGTCATTAAGTGAAACGTGTACATCGATTTCCCAGGAACTACTTTTCGCACCAAGTTCTGGATTCCCTTAGTTAATTAAAGACAAAACTGGTTTTACGAAGAAGTTGTGGTAGTTAATCAACTGTTTTTTTTCTCATTTTTTTTTGTATTCAATTTTTTTATTTTCCTTCATTCTTATTTTTTTTTTCTCCTTTCTTCTTTTGCAGTACACACCACTTGTCGAGAAGGCGAATGAGGCTCTTGTACACCACGTGATTTTGTACGAATGTGTTTCGACTTCACCGACCCTTGGAAAACATACGAAACTTGCTGGGGCGCATTGCTATAGTCCAACGATGCCAAAAGAATGGGAATCCTGTCTGCAACCAGTCCTCGCCTGGGCTCGTGGAAGCAAGGGTAAGGATGGGAAAGAATTCCTTTTTTTTATTCATTAAATTCAATTCATTTTATTTTTCAAACCTAAGAGTAATTTCTTCATTCATCTTTCTCTCATTTCTTTCTTTCCTCTTCGTTTTCTTCATCTTCTTCTTCTTCTTCTTTCGACCACAAAATTCGATCGTGATTGAAGAGTTCGTTTACCTCGAAAGAAGACAGGAAACGATTTTTTTTCTTTTTTATATCGATATATATATGAAAATTTCTCACTTCTTTGGAAAAGCACATAAATTTTTGGAAAGAAGTAAGAAATTTTCACATTTGTCGATTTTTACTGAACTTGGTTCCGTAATCACTTGTTAGTAAACATTACAAAGTAAAGAAATAATGTAGAAAAAATATAAATGCTAAAAATAGTAAAGAAATAATTAATATTTTAAGGCAGAAATAAAAAGTACTGAACTCGGTTCCGTAATTTCTTGTAGTAAACAGTAGAGAGTAAAGAAATAATAAAGAAAAAAACTATTTACTATTTTTTTCACAAAAAATAGTAAAGAAATAATTGATATTTTATAGCAGAAACAAAAAGTACGAAACTCGGTTCCGTAATCCATTGTTAGTGAACAGTACAGAGTAATAAAAAAATAATAAAGAAAAAATAAAAATGCCAAAAATTTTTAAGAAGTAATTAATATTTTGAGGCAGAAACAAAAAGTACGGAACTCGGTTCCGTAATCGCTTGTTAGTAAACAGTACAAAGTAAAGAAATTACAAATGAAAAAATAATAAAAAAATATTATTTCAAAGCAGAACCAAAAGTACGGAACTCGGTTCCGTAGTTTACTTTTTCAACAAATTATTTATTTCCTTTGTCATACAGAACCAAATTTTTTTTTCAATTTTAGTAATTTGTTTTCTTTTTTCCTTCAGGAGAATGGTTTCCGGAACACATTGGAATTCCAGTGGCGGAACATACGGAGGGATCGTATTATATGTTGGAGGTTCACTACAACAATCCGGGACACAAGAAAATTATTGATAGCAGTGGTGTGAGAATTCACTACACTTCTAATCTCCGTAAAAATGAAGCCGGTATTCTCGTCGCTGGCGTGGCTGTGACTCCTCTTCATGTGGTTCCCCCCCGGCAAAAGAAATATGCGACCGCTGGATACTGCACTCAAGATTGCACAAATATGGTAAAAATACTAAAAATCACTATTTTAATTTTCATTTTCCACACTTGATAAGAATACAATCAACAAATAAAGAAAAAAAACACTATACAAATTACAAATCGATTAAAAGGAGAGAATTAGCATTTAAAAATAAACAGAGAAGAAATTTTGATAAGAATATGTCGATAAAATAATAATAATAATATAATTTTTAATAACAAAAAAATTAAAGATTAGAAAAAGAATTAGGAATGTTAAAAATTACAGGATAAAAAATAAAAAATTACAGAATAAAAAATAAATTAAAAATTACATGATAAAAAATAAATTAAAATTACGGGATAAAAATAACAAATTAAAAATGCAGGATAAAAAAAATAAAAAATTACAGGTTAAAAAAATTGTATTGGAATTCAATGGGAATAAAATTAAATAAAGCAGAAATTGCAAATGGAGGGAAAAAAAAGAAATTAAAGGACAAATAAAAGAATAAGGAGAAAAGTAAATTAGTAAAGAATTTGAAGATAGTAATAATCATTAAGTAAAGAGTTTATCTTCACACATTAAATGTAGAAATAAGAGGTTTTTTTTGTAAATGTAATTATTTCCCACGACAATCGGAAATGTGTAGCCATGAGAAAGGGGAAAGATCATTGTCAGCAGATTTGAATCTCTTGAGATGAAAAGTTGACTCATAATAAGTTATCTCTCATTATGAATTCTAAGAAGGTCGGTCCCTCTTCCACCAAAGACCTGACTCCACTTCCATCCATGACCAGATTTTTAATCGTTTTCCTGCATTTTTTTTTATTCATCAAAATCCATATTCGCATACAAAATATCCAATATTAATAACAAATCGTCCTTTTTTTCCATTTCCAATTTTTTTTCACTAAAAAGTTTCAAAATTAGAAAAAAGAAAGTTTTGAAAAGTTCCACTACAAAAAAATTTTATTAAAAAGTTTCACTAAAAAAAATTCATTAAAATGGTTTACTAAAAAAAATTTCCCTTAAAAGGTTAAGGGAAAATTAATAGTAAACCATTTAAAAGAATTTTAACTTTCAAAGAATTCATTAAAATAATTTACTAAAAAAATTCATTAAGAAAATAATTGGAACTTGTGAAAAAATACTGAAAATTAATCAAGATGCGGAAAAAAATTTTTTCTTCTAAGTACACGGAAAATATTTATATAAAGGGATTTATCTATTTGTTATCAACTTGAGAAACTCAATGGCCAATTGAATCAATGAATTAGATAAATAGATAAAAAAAAATTGAAAATAATTGCGATGATATAGTCTACAAATAAATCTAAACAAATACTATTAGGTTAATAACTTTATTACATGATACATATTATCGTTCAAGATTTTTATTTGTTTTTCTTTTGTATTTCTTGTCGCAATTAAAATCAGATTAAATTTTCCCGATTGGAAATACAGAAAAAATTTTTAATCGTAAATTTAAAACTGATTAAATAAATCAAAAGTTACAAAATAAATTTAACATTCGTTAAATAATAAATTAAAGAATTAAATCAAATAACGTAAAGTCAAAAGTAAATTAAAAAACAATTTCGAAAATAGAATTTCAAAAATTAACGAAAAATGATGAAAAATGTAAAGATCGGAAAAATACAAAGAGAATCAAAGAATAGAGAGATAACAAAAAAGAAAGATGCAATAATTTAATTAAAATAGAAAAATATTTTAAGTATTAATTTAAGAAAATATTAATATTCATATAATAATAAAGAAAAGGTATTTTTTGCAAAGAAATGATGAAAATTGATAGAAAATGATGGAAAATGATGAAAATTGATGAAGTTTGATGAAAATTGTAGAAAATGATAAAAAATGATGAAAATTGATAAAAATTGACGAAAATTGATGAAATTTGATGAAAATTGTAGAAAATTGATTAAATTTGATTAAATTTGATAAAAATTGATTAAAATTGATGAAAATTGATGAAAAATGTTTTCGTTTACAGATGCTGCCGAATAAAGGTGTGAATGTTGTGTCGGTGGTTCTTCATTCGCATTTGGCTGGACGGCAATTGAGTTTAAAACATATTCGCGAAGGCAATGAACTGCCGCCAATTGTTGAAGATAATCATTTTGATTTTGATTATCAGCAATCGCATACATTGGAGAAGGAGGTGAAAATTCTTCCAGGCGATGAAATTGTCGCCGAATGCGTTTACGGAACATTGGACAGAAAACGTCCCACATTGGGTGGCTATGCGGCATCACAGGAAATGTGTTTAGCATTTGTGGTCCATTATCCAAGAACGGAATTGGCCGCTTGTTACAGTATGACGCCCGTTAAAGATTTATTTGAAACACTCGGCATCAATACATTCAAAGGCATCTCAATGGATCATCTCGAGAAAATTTTTCTCAGCACTGGGTACATTTGAATTTTTCCCTATTCTTTTGCAATCAAACTTTTGATAATTTAATATTTTTACAACTCTATAGAAGAATAAAAATTGAAATTCTAATATTCAAATGTTCTTTTCAATTTTTATTCAACTATATTGAATAAAATTTCATAATAAAATAAAATTTTTTTATGAATAAAAATATATATAGGTAATGAATAAAATTCATAAAAATTGAAATAAAAATTGAATTTCTAATATTCAATTATTCTTTTCAATATTTATTCAACTATTCTGTAGAATTAATTCTTTTCAATTTTTATTCAATTTTAAGTTGAATTGAAATCGACATTGAAATTGAAATATTCAGTTAAATAAAAATTGAAATTCAAATATTCAGTTGGATAAAAATTGAAATTCTAATTTTCAATTTATATTCAAATATTCAGTTGAATAAAAATTTGAATTCTAATATTCAATTATTCTTTTCATTTTATTTTCAATTATCCAGTAAATAAAAATTGAAATTCTAATGTTCAATTATTCTTTTCAATTTACATTAAATTATTCAGTTGAATAAAAATTGAAATTGAAATTCAAATATTCAGTTGAATAAAAATTGAAATTCTAATATTAAATTATTCTTTTCAATTTATATTCAATTATCCAATGAATAAAAATTGAAATTCTAATATTCAATTGAATAAAAATTCAAATTCAAATATTAAATTGAATAAGTTCTTTTCAATTTTAATTTAATTATTCTGTTAAATAAATTCTTTTCGATTTTTATTCAAATATTTAGTTAAAGAAAAATTGATGAAATCAATTTTAATAAATTTATTCGTTTAATTGAAAGTATAATTAAATTAATTAATATTTTGAAAATTAAAATTACAGATTTGATGCTTTGGCGCTGCCAAATTTAACGAAACAACAGCATTCTGTGTACCCGGCAGTTCAGCCAAATGATAAATTTGACAAACAATTGGTCAAAGAAGCGGAATCTGCTTTAAGGGCGTTGCGAGATTATAAGGAAGCTGATAATAATGATGAACTTTTCTCGACATTAATAATTGAAGAACCTTCCGAATTTAGAGGTAAATTCGAAAATTCTTATTAAAAATAAATATTTCTTTTCAGTTAATAAAAATAAATATTTCTTTCTTAGTTAAGAAATAATTGTTTAATTTTAGTTAATAAAAATAAATATTTCTTTCTTAGTTAAAAAAATAACTATTTCCTTCTAGTTAATAATAAAAATATTTAAATAAAAATAAATATTTTTTTTTAGTAAAAAAAATACCTAACTATATTTATTTTCAGTAACGAAAATATATCTTTTTTAATTAGTAAAAATCAATATTTCTCTTTTGGTTAATAAAAATAAATGATTTTTTAGATAAAAAAACACAAATATATCTTTTTTTAGTAAAAAAAAATATTTCTTTGTTTTAGTTTATATTTTGTAAGCCCGTTTACTATTTAAATAAATAAAATAAATAAATAAAATTCTATTAACTTTTTTTTTAGTAAAAAATAATAAAAATAAAAATTTATTTTAATTTCTTTTTTCTGGATTAAAAAAAATGTTAATTTTGTCTTTAATAATTTATTTAATTTGTAATATTTGTTTTGTTTACAGGACGAACGTTCGCAGAGCATATGTTATCTTTACCTTGGACGGAGGAACTTCTTTCAAGATCTATTGAAAAAAGTTTATATCACGGAAAACATATGACATTTTGCAGAATGAGAAACGACAATCTTGCTATGGTAAGAAAAAAATATTTAATTTAATAAACATTGTAAATTAGCAAATAATAATATAATACATAAAATAGAAATAAATTTTTAGTGAATAAACATTAAATAATAAATAATAAATAAAAAATGAAGAAATAATAAATAAATAAGAAATAATTAATGAAGAAATAATAAATAAATAAGAAATAATTAATGAAGAAATAATAAATAAATAAGAAATAGTTAATGAAGAAATAATAAATAAATAAGAAATAATTATTGAAGAAATAATAAATAAATAAGAAATAATTAATGAAGAAATAATAAATAAATAAAAAAATAATTAATGAAGAAATAATAAAAAATTGAGAAATATTTAAGAAATAGATAAATAGGTAGAAAAATAATAATTAGATTTTAGAAAAAAATGAATTTTTTTATTAAAAGAATATATTATAAATAAATAAATAATAATTACATTTTTCGAAAGAATAAATTTTTCATCTTTTCTAACAATATTAAAAATTTATGTTTCAGCCCGTGACGATTCAAAATTTTCCAAACTTCACGGCACTGCCCGAACCAAATAATACATATTGCGCCGAAATGAGGAGACTATCGAGCTCCGTCGACTCGTCATCATCAAATTCATTCCACTTGATTTTGACAATAACCGTCTCACTGTGGTGGAGTTTTCGTTAAAGTTAAATATTTTTTTTTAACAACGATTCTCTTATCAAATTTTTCCAAAAAGCAATTTTTCTGCTTTTTTTTTCTCATCTCTGTGTATATTATTTTTTTCCCCAAAAACTTGTATAAATTGGCTCTTAACTTATTTATTTTCTACATTATAGTTATATCGTTGAGTCTTTTTTTTAATCTCCAAAAAAGACAATACTTATTTTTTTGCAAGAAAAAAAAATCTATATATTACTGATTTGTTCGAAACAAATCCGAAAAAGAAAATTTTTTTGCAAAAAAGAAATTTTTTCCATTTTCTCAACAAAAGAAAGAGAAAAAAAAATTTCTGTATTTAAAAAAGAAGAAAGAGAAAATACAAAATTTTTGTATTTACTGCGTTTTTTAGTTTTTTAAGTCGACATGTAAATATATTTATGTAAGAATCGTAATTAATTGTATAAGTTTGAAAAGAAGAATAATCCCTCTGTAATGCGTGTTTTGTATAAAATAAAGAAGAAATTTTTTATAGAGAAACAGTTGTACTTTTTCTTCTGACGTATTCTTGTTTTTCTTTATATAATTTTCTATTTCTAAAAAAAATTTATTGTGTCATTTTTTCTTTATCTTTTTTTATTAACATTGTAGAATCTTTGAATGTCGTTTTCAATTTATTACTGTAATTAACAAGCTAGAATTTTTTATCACACCACTAGGATGCGTCAATAATTATTAACCTTTTAGTTAGAAAAGGTTAATTGAAGGTAGACTTTATAAAATTTTAATAGTTTATTAGCAAAGGAGTAATAACAAATTTTCTAAAATAAATAATCGACAAATTTCTGAGTCTTATAGATAAAATACTTTTCGATTTTTCAAAATTTACGATAATTTATAAAAAAAAAAATAATTTACGACAATTCGCGAAAAAAAAATTATTTTACTGCTTGTGGTGCAAAAAAAAAATATCCTTTCTTTTTCTTTTTACGTAAATAATAATTAAATATAAATAAAATAAAAACTATAGATTTATACTCTATTCAATGACAATTCTTGTGAATTTCTGTTTTTTTTCCTTATCAGCGCACCTGAAATGTCTATATAATCTTACTTGATGGGAGATACAGCATTCCCCAGTGTTGATCGCGGATTTGAAGAAAATTCCCTCAAGTTGTGGGAGTAGTTCTTTAGTGACCGTCGCAGTAACTGCATAATAATGTACTGAAAGGAAAATTTGCAGCAAAAAAAAAAAAATATGGAAACTTTTATCAAAATAGGGGAATAAAAGTATTTTCAAAATTAAATGGAAATTTATTAAAAAAAAAATGTTACTACAAAAAGTGATTGTAAATTGTTTCGGTATAAATGTTACATACAGAAATTGGCGTGCGACAAAAAATTAAGGAGAAAGAAAATTTTTACTTATCTGATCAACAATGGCAGCTGGTATCAGTAACGAAGCCTTTAACGAGGTAAATGATTTTAATTCACGATTATAATTAATAATATTTGGTGTACAATGAACTTTTTTTATCTTTAAATAAAATATTAAAATTTTTTTTTACTAAAATATTAAATAAAATATTTTTTTTATTTTCTTTTTAAATATTTCATGTATTTTTCATTTAAAAATATTCCATGTGTTTCGAATTTTTAAATATTTCATGTATTTTCTATTTTAAAATATTCCAAGTGTTTCGAATTTTTAAATGTTTTATGTATTTTCCATTTTAAAATATTCCAAGTGTTTCGAATTTTTAAATATTTCATGTATTTTCATTTTCCATTTTAAAATCTTTAAAATTTTTAATGTCATGTATTTTTGATTTTAAAATATTTCACGTACATTTTATACAAATTCAAAAATAATACCTACATAAGTAACTCTTTTGCTTTTATATTTTTTCTAGGAAAAATATAGTTTATAACTTATTATATTATTTGAAATACGTTTCAAAATGTTAGAACTTAGAAATATTAAAAATATTACAAATATTGAAAATGTTAGAAATATTGAAAATATGAAAAACATAAAAAATATTAAAAACAGTTAAAATATTACAAATATTGAGAATATTAAAAATATTAAAATAATTTTAAAACTTATTTAAATAATTTATTTCCATTTTTTGCTTTAAATTTTTTGCGTAGTTGCAAAAAAATGCGAAATAAAAATGCAAAATATTTTACAAACAATACCTTAACATTTCATGTACATATATGGAAGATTGTGTCATTAAAAAATATCATTGTGTAACTAAACAATAGAATGGGATTATCAATCATAAAAGGCAGAATCACATTTCTCGCAATGTACTTTTTGAATTAATAAAACGTCGTTTAACTTTTCAAATTGAGGAAAAAAAGTTTTTGAACGCAATTATCATATACACTTTAAAGCTGAACTGATAAATATTTTCCAAAAATATATAAAATATTGTATATTAAAATATTAATATTATTTTTTAATATTTCTTAATTATTTTAGATATTTAATTAATAAAATTTAATAATCATCTTAATTTTTTCGATTATTTTAATTTTAATGCAAGGAAAAAAAATTTACCTGGAACAGCTACAAATTTCACTGTATTAACGAAATTTTTAGTTGCTTCAGTTAATACTTTCGCTATTCTAAAGAAACTTATCGTTGTTCCAGCTGAAGCTTTTTTCTACTTTTTTGAAGTTATTATAATTTACTAATTTTTAATTTATTACTATTTATTATAATTTTTTTAGAATTATTATTACTAATTATTACTATTATTATTATTATTATATTATTATTGTTATTATTATTATTTTTATTATTATTTTTATTATTATTTTTAGTAAAGATGCTTTTTGTTGTTTCTGGTAAAAATCCACATTTATTTCATTGTTAAAAGTTAAGCTTTTAGCCCATCGACGAAATTATTATTATTTTATTATAAAATTATTATTTTATATTATTACAAATAAATAAATTATTATCTTATAATATTAGTACAGAATAAAATAATTAATTACATTCCGATTTTAGGAGTACGACATTGATGGCATTAATTCTGCGACAAAATTTCAGACACAGGTACGTATTCTTAACTATAATTCACATAAGTTTGTTGTAAATTTTTATAATTTAAATAAAAAATTTATTTATTAAAAAAAACATGAAATAACACAATTTTTATTGAATTTTTGTTACTGATGTTGTTCAAAAGATGTCGAAAGAAGAGAAAACGGAATTAGATGAGAACGATGGAGTTTTTGATAAAGCGAAAACTGGATTAGAAGTGTTTATTGAAACGCATAAAAAAACATTAAAAATATGTGGCTATTTGTTACTTAATCTCGTAGTCGTATCGTACGTGGCCTTCGCGGGGATTTACTGGCACAATAACAGTAGGTAGTATATAGAAAAAAAATTTTCTTTTTCTTACATTTCATATTATATTATAAATTTATTTATTTAAAAAAAATAAAAAATACAATAAATAAAAATACAATATACTATTAAGAATAATATATGAGGTAAAAAAACTCGTTTATAAATAATATTATGTGAATCAATAAATAAAAGTAAGAAAATGCAATAAATAAAAATAAAAAAAAGTGGTGCATAAAAATAAAAAAAATTTAGAAAAAAACTAAAATGGAAAAAATATTATAGATACTAAAAAGAAGAAAAATGTAGTAAATAAAAAGTACAATAAACATACTAAAATGATAAAACGCAATAAATGAAAATAAAAAAACATTATAATAAAAAAATACCTATCCTAAATTAAAATTAAAAAATTCAATATATTTAAAATATTAAAAAATGACATAGATAAATAAAAGTAGAGAAATGTAATAAATAATTAAAAAAATGCATAAATAGAAAAAGAGAAATTAAGAATAATAATAATAATTAGAATTAAGAATAATGAGAAATAATAATTAAGAATTAATGGAATTAAGTCAATAAAAATAAGAAATTTAATAAAAAAATGTAATTAAAAATTTTAAGTTATTAATTGTCTAATTTACAAAAGCTGATAAAATGTTTATTACTTTTCAGCAACGAATTGTGATTTTGAGTTCTGTAATGGATTTGGCATGCTTCTTATAATCATTGTGATAATCTACTCTAGTTTTTTGTATTACTCTCTATTAAGAAAGCACTTGATAAAATTGATTTGCTCTGGATTATCGCCATTCAATACAAGTTTGAAGACTAGTCGTCATAAACGGTAAATTTTTTTTTTTTCATTTCATTACACTTTTAAGTGATTAAATTAAAAATTTTCTAGATAACAAAAATCATTAAAATTATTATTGCCATGTATTCTAAATTTTTTAATTTTGACACAGAGGATAAATATCAATGATAATAAAAATTGAATAAAAAATAATTGATTAATCAATAAAAATCGAATTAAAATTAATTACAATCAATTAATCAATAAAAATTGAATTAATATTAATTAATTAATTAACTAAACTTTCTATTAAAGAAATTATTTTTCAGTTACCTTCATACCTACGGACAGACATTAATTTATTTTGCCATTTTACTACTAATAATAGTATTTTTAATTTTCGACACCGCTGGTGCTCGAGAGAGATGGATAAGTTTCGGTGGTATTTTACTTATCGTCACGTTTGGTTGGATTTTTTCCAAACATCCAAATAGAGTGTGTATAATATGAAAATTTATTATCAGAAAAAAATTAATTATTAAATAATCATAATTTTTTATTATGAAATATAAACATATTTAAACAGTATAAACAATTAAAAGATTTTTATTATTAAATAGTAAAACTATAATAATTTGTTTTTTGTTAAAACCACTTTTTAATTATTTTCTATAATAAAAAAAGAAAGTTTTAAAAAAAGTTCGCGATTAGTTCTAAAATACACTTTGGTTCTTTTTATTACAAAATAATTTTATGGAATTTAATTTTTTTTCAGGTAAATTGGAAATCCGTGGCTTCTGGATTAATAATTCAAATTTTGTTTGGATTATTTACAATAAGATGGTCTGTTGGACGAGCAATATTTCAATGTATTTCAAATAAAGTGGAAACATTTTTAAATTTCGTTAAAGTTGGTGCTAAATTTGCATATTCGGATTTATTAGTCGACAGTGGAACTTTTGTATTTGCGGTTAGTGAAAAAAATATATAGACTTTAAATAATATCAAATTTGTATATTATTATCAAATTTATAATATTTATAAAAAAATATTTTGTAATACATATAATATTATTATTCACATAACATTTTTCATATTTTTATATCTAAAGAAATTATTTACATATAATAGAAAAAAACTAATTCTATATAATTATAATTATAACAGGCGCTGCCAGCAATATTTTTCTTTGGATTTATAATTCAAATGTTGTATCACAGTGGTATTTTGCAAAAAGTAATTTTAAAATTAGGATGGCTACTTCAAACACTTGTGGGAACGACTGCATGTGAGTCTATGAATGCAGCAGGAAATACATTCTTGGGAATGGTAATGAAAAAATGTCAATTGTTTCTGTGATTCTTTTTTTGTTCTTTCAAGAAAAATTTAATAATTTACAATAATAAAAAAATTAACAAAAACAAAAATTTAACTAGTTATCAAAAATAATGCAATTATTTTCAGACAGAATCCATTTTACTTATAAAACCCTACATGAATTCTTTGACTAAATCAGAAATTCATACCATAATGTGTTCAGGCTTTGCTTCCGTTTCCGGTATGTTGTTCTAAAATTAGTGTAAAATTTGTATAAATTACCCAATTATTGATTTTTAATAATTAATAATAATAATTTTTAATTAAATGTTGAAATTTCGATATTTTAGGAACAACTCTAGCTGCCTATATAGGATTTGGAGCAACACCTTCAAATTTAATAACAGCTACTTTAATGGCCGCGCCGGCATCTCTTGCCTTTTCGAAATTATTTTATCCGGAAACAGAAAAGAGTCAAACTAGTTTTAAAGAATTACCAGATTATAAATCGTGAGTTATGGTTTACAAATTTTTTATTTTCATTATGATTTGGATCCTAATTATTGTTTTGGATTTGAATCCTAATTATTATTTTGGATTTGTATCCTAATTATTGTTTTGGATTTGAATCCTAATTATTATTTTGGGTTTGAATTAATAATAATTAGGATCCAAAGCAATTCACCTCCATTGTTATTCAAATCCAAAACAATAATTAGGATCAAATTTTTTATCTTTATTATGTTTTTGATCCTAATTATTGTTTTGAATTTGAATCTTAATTATTATTTTGGATTGAAATTGATTTGGATCCAAAATATTGTTTTAGATTTGAATCCTAATTATTATTTTGGATTTGAATCAATAATAATTAGAATCTAAATCAATTCAACTTCTTTGTGATTCAAATCCAAAACAATAATTAGATTAATTAGAATCAAATTTTTTATCTTCATTATGTTTTAGATCCTAATTATTATTTTAGATTTGAATTGATTTGGATGCTAATTATTGTTTTGGATTTGAATCCCAATTATTGTTTTAGATTTGAATCCTAATTATTATTTTCGATTTGAATTAATAATAATTAGGATCCAAATCTAAAACAATAATTGGGATTCAAATCCAAAACAATAATTAGATTAATTAGAATCAAATTTTTTATCTTCATTATGTTTTAGATCCTTATTATTATTCTGGATTTGAATGCTAATTATTGTTTTGGATTTGAATCCCAATTATTGTTTTAGATTTGAATCCTAATTATTATTTTCGATTTGAATTAATAATAATTAGGATCCAAATCTAAAACAATAATTGGGATTCAAATCCAAAACAATAATTAGGATCAAATTTTTTATCTTTATTATGTTTTTGATCCTAATTAATTACTGTTTTGGATTTGAATCTTAATTATTGTTTTGGATTTGAATTTTAATTATTATTTTGGATTGAATTTGATTTGGATCCTAAATATTGTTTTAGATTTGAACCCTAATTATTATTTTGGATTTGAATTAACAATAATTAGGATCAAAATCAATTCAACTGTATTGTGATACAAATCCAAAACAATAATTAGAATCGAATTTTTTAGCTTCATTATTTTTTAGATCCGAATTATTATTTTGAATTTGAATCATATTTATTGTTTTGGATTTGGATCCTAAATATTGTTTTGAATTTAAATCCTAAATATTGTTTGAATTTGAACCCTTATTATTATTTTAGATTTGAATTAATTTGGATGCTGATTATTGTTTTGGATTTGAATCCTAATTATTGTTTTAGATTTGAATTAATAATAATTAGGATCCAAATCAATTCATCTCTATTGTTATTCAAGTCCAAAACAATAATTACGATTTAATTTTTTATCTTCATTATGTTTTGGATCCTAGTTATTATTTTGGATTTGAATTGATTTGGATCCTAATTATTGTTTTAAATTTGAATTGATTTTGATCTTAAATATTGTTTTGGATTTGAATCATAATTTTTTTTGGATTTGAATTTGTTTGAATCCTAATTTTTAGTTTGGATTTGAATTTGTTCGAATCCTAATTATTGTTTTGGTTTTGAATCCTATAACTATTGTCTTGGACTTAAATTGATTTAGAACCTAATTTACAGTAGTGGACATTAATGTCTCTAAATAAAAGAAAAAATCAACGTATAGATTAAAAATAAAAAATAAGAATCTTTGGTATAATTTTTTTTTTAAATAGAATGTTTAATATTCCAGGGAAGATGCAAGTTTACTGGACGCTGGTATTAGAGGAGCACTCAATGGAATACCAATAGTTTTAGGAATAACCGCCAATATTATAGCATTCACATCATTTGTAGCATTTTTAAACGCTCTACTCTCATGGATTGGTGGACTCGTTGGCTACAGTGAAATGACCTTCGAGGTACTGTTAATTTCCGTCCTAATAAAATCCACTTTAAATAAAATTAACCCAAAAATAATGAAATCCTGAATTTAAAAAAAACTCAACATTAAAAACCATCAGTCATTGTCACATAACAATATTCTTTTAGTGAAAATGACTCTTACGGTTTGTTGAGAGTTGAGCCTTTTTTGAAATTTAATTTAAATTCAATTTAAAAAAATCATTTTTTCTTATTATAAATAATATAATAAATAATATAATGAATAATAAAATTATTTATTTCGTTTCGCAGTTTCTTTTGTCGCGAACTTTCATGCCATTAAGTTGGATTATGGGAGTTCCATGGGAGAGTTGCGGTGACGTTGGCAATTTAATAGGCCTTAAAGTAGCTGTAAATGAATTTGTAGCTTATCAAAAATTAGGCGAATACAAATTAGAGGGTAAATTGTCCCCAAGAACTGAGGCGATCGCAACTTTTGCAATTTGTGGATTTTCAAATCCCGCTTCACTGGGAATACTCTCTGGTGCTCTTATAACAATGATGCCTGACAAAAGATCACAAGTCACTGCTGTTGCCATTAGAGCAGCAATTGCCGGAAGTATCGTTTGTTTTTTGACTGCATGCACCGCAGGTTCGTATATATTAACAATATTCACTTTTTTCCACTTTTATGTAATAAAAGAACAAAAATAAAATATAAAAATAAAATATAAAAATAGAATAAAAAACCGTTAGAGAAGAAAAAACTGTGATAAAAAATAAAACATAAAATAATAATTTTAATTTTTCAGGCATGCTAATGGATGACAGTTTTTATTCTCCCCATTCAAATGGAACAATACCAACAACAAACTAGAAGTAAAATTATTAATTTGTATATATATTTTTTTCTTTTTAGAATAAGGCATTTGACACCACAACATAATAGATTTATACACTAGAATTGCACTAAAATACATTCAGTCGTAACAAATTTTTATTATTAATATTATCATTAAGAGAAGCTAATACTTAAGTGGTAGATGATAAAATACTAAAAAAACGATTTTAAAAATAAATTTTGAAATCAAAAAAATAAAAGTGGATAAAATTTGTTTCTAAATATAAATTATTAATGTACATATTATGCGAGCTATCGAATCACACCATTCACGGAATGTGTAAAAATGTATAGCTTTAAAAAATGTATTCAAGTTTCCTTTGGTTCAAAAAATTCTTTAAAAATTAATTTTCTACCTTCATTATGGTAGTTTATGCAATTCGTGTAATTCGTAAAGTTTATGGGTACGATCGAAAACTATGGAGGTGACTTCCAATGTTTTTGGCAGCACTTCTATGTTCCTTTCCACATGTTCTCCACAAACCTAAAGAACATTAAAAATTTTGAATTTCGTTTGGAGAAAATAATAAAAATTTATTTTTTTATTCAATTCAAATTCAGTTTTCTTTAAAGTATTATATTGATACTAAAGTGGATCGACAAAAATTTGGATCAATTTTTGATTCGATCCACATTTTTGCCAACAATTCGTTGCAATCTGATTCTTTTAAGTTAACAGTGTTATAATTGTAATAATTATCTTTAAAAAAAAAAAATTTTAATAATTATTATTGTAAGCGAGCAGAGAGAAGAAATAGAAGAATATAAAATAGAAAAAATATTAAAAGAAAAATAATTAAGTTGAAACCTTTTTGAATAAATTCTCTCTAGTTGGCATAGTGTACATGGCAACAACAGCAGCTTTCTTGACAACCCAGGGATGATGTTTGGCTAAAGTTTTGTTGTAGGCATTTTGGCAGCAAGTTGAAGTTTTTTCTGAATCTTCCAATTCGCCCATTTGCTTGAGAAATTCAGAAATAAAGTCTGAAAAAAAGATCGTTAATCAGATGAGAAAAATAATCTCTAATTATCTTATCAATTAAAGAGCATTGTAGCTATTAATTATAATTATAATTTTTTTTGAAGTATTAAAATCATTTTAATCTAGATTTTATAAATTAATAATAAAAAGCATATACCTAAACCTCTATGAAGTCGTAAAAAAGTTCTCGCACCACTGATAAAATCTTTCTTTTCTAATAAATTGTTATTTTTCTCATGCTCAATCATTGTCTTTATTGTTTGATAATTGTTGTTATCCTTTTCGAGTAGCTCTTGTAAAACATCAATTTTTTGTTTCAAGTCAGAAGACACAAAACTGAAGACACTGCCCATAAGTTGAAAAAATCTGTGGACAGAAATTTTTTTTTAAAAAGAATCAAAAATACACTGAAACAAAAATTTATTTGATTCAAATAACCGATTATTTGACTATTGTCAATTAAATATTGACTTGAATCAAATAATTTTTATTTCAGTCAATAAAATGGTATTTTTCACACTCAACAATTAATTTTAAAAAGGTATCAAAAACTAGCTTCAAGAAAGAAAAAAAGTAGTAAAAAAGTAGCAATCGAAAAATTAAACTTGACTCAATTTTTTCATAATTTTTTAATTACATTCAAAAATAGAATAATTTTTTTAAAATAAATATTTAAATACCTATTTATTTTGTCTACTGTAATTTAAATATTTCAAATGACTTTAATGTAACACTTTCTGGAAATTTAACTATACAACTATACAACTATACAACTATACAACTATACAACTATACAACTATACAAACAAATGTAATTCTTTCAAAAGTCAATCATTATTTTCTTGAAATTTATAAATAAAATTATTCAAAACTTTAATCATTTTATTTTTTTAAATTCTAAATCAATTTTTATTAGAAATTTCTACGAGAATTCAATTATTTAAATGCAAAAATAAATAATTCATTGAATAATATTGAATATTTCTAAAATTTGAATTCTTATAAAGAACTTTATCAACATTTTTTAAAATAATTGAATTTTTACGAAGAATTGCATTAGAATTTTTGATAATAATTAAATTCATTCAAGAAATGTAATTAAAAATGAATTGAATATAATTATTACACTCTAAGAAATAAAGTATATCAAATTTTTTTTAAATAATTCAATTTTTGGAAGAATTTTATTCAAATTTTTAAAAATAATTGGGTTTTTAGTGGATTTAATTAAAAATTATATTAAAAATAATTGAAATCCTGCGATGAGTTTGATTATTTATGAAAATAATTGAATTTTTATCACTGAACTTTAATAAAGTTTTTAAAATAATTGCTAATAATAATTAAGTTATTATTAGTTTTGGGACATGATTATTTAGAAATTAATATTTTTAACATTCATCAACATTTCTACGAATAGTGAAAAACTTTTTCTATATTAATATTGATTGTTTATTAATTTAATTAACCAATAAAAATTTAAATTTACCGGATTCAATTTAAATCCAGTAAGTCTTTGAATTGAGGAAAAAAATTTAAATTTTCACAAGCAAAAAAAAATTTATTTGTAATAATTTGTTAGAATTTTATTCTGTTTGTTAAATAAGGAAATTATTTTTTGCAAATTTTTATTTAACTACAAAACAATCTTTGGAAGTTTAAAAAAATCTTTGCAAATAATTTATTTACTAGCATACATATAAGATTTACCTGTAACGATAATACAAGGAAAAACTTTTTTTTATAACCGATAATAAAATTGTGATAATGATCCAAGGTTTTAAATATCCATTTTTAACAGAGATAAAAAAAATTGCAAGAAAGACAATGAACTTAATATAAAGACAATATAAAATATTTTTAAATATGGAATTCTTGTTATGACTGTCAATTTTTTTTAATTCATAAAAGAGCGTTTTTTTACTCTCTTCGAAAAATAGAAAAATAATATGAAATTATTTTAACATTATGACGTTGAATGATCGTTAAAATGTATATAGAAATGTTTATCTAAATTATTACTATTGGCTTCCTACTTGAAGGTCTACAAGTATTATAGAAAATATAGAAATAGAGAATTACTATTTTTAGAATATATCCTTAGAAGGATGGATACATAAATACTCTAAAGCTCGCTCTAAAGACTGACAATTAAAGTAAATACACTTTATCATAGCAACGTAAAATTCAAATCGAAATTATGCAAATAAGTCTGATAAGATTACTGAAATTTTTTTTTGAATACATTATTAAAAAAAAGATAATTTATTCTTTTATATTTTATTATTCTTTTCGCATTTTATTATAATATTGAATAACAATTAAAAAGCAGAAATATAATTATATTCTATACTTAATAACGAAAATTTATAAAACGAATACAATATTCTTTTGTTATGATACAGTAATTCTTTTGTTTTAATTCCAGTAGTTAAGATGCATATATATACATTATTGTCATCAACAGATTGGTGAACGTCAACAACCGACTCAAATGTACAAATAAAACTTACTTAAACAACTCGTGATAGGCATCTAAATATGCTTTAATATCCACATCATCTTCCTCAATGAGAGAACGATCGAAATTATTATGAACTTCGTGTAAATTGAAATATTCCAGTTCGTTTGACATTTTTTCCTCTTTCTTTTATATCCTTCTTAAACACTAAATTTTTACTTTTAAAAACAATATAATCAAATCACAATTGTAGAGTTCCAACATGAAAATTCATGACTATAAGCATATAAGAAAGGAAATTCTCAGTTGAAAATTTACAAACTTTGCTTTCAAGTTATCAGCGCTTCACGGATTGATGTCGAATTATTTGTTCTCGCTTTACAAAAAGAATTTTATCACTCCTTACTAACAATTTTTGCAAAAAAATAACAGATCTTTTGAAAAAATTAACAAAATTTTTGTTCTTTTGGAAAAATGTTTAAAATTTTAGAGAAGATGAAAGAGTTCAGCTAACAGAAGTGGTTAATTTTAAATTTTGATTGTTTGACAAAATTAAGTCCTTTTTATCAACATTTTCTTAAGGAACCACAATAGCTGAGATGCTTAAGGCACAGTGAGTGTGAAATTCGATAAAATGTCCTCGAGTTCAATTCCAGGTACCTGGAAATTTTTAATATTTTATTAATTAATTAATTAATATTTAGGACTAGGTCGAATACAATTTATGTTTAGTAATTTTTAGGTCAAGTGGAAATTTTGTTGCAAAAATTATGTCAATTAATGTTTCTCAATTCAAATTTCTACCAAGAAAGATTTAAATCAAATGAGATTTATGTCAATATTAATGTTTCTCAAAATAAATTTCTGCCAAGAAAGATTGAAATCAAATGAGATTTACGTCAATTAATGTTTATCGATTAAAATTTTTATCAAGAAAGATTTAGATCAAGTGAGGTTTATGACAATATTAATGTTTCTAAATTAAAACTTATATCAAGAAAGATTTAGATTTATGTCAATTAATGTTTCTCAATTAAAATTTATATCAAGAAATATTTAGATTTATGTCAATTAATGTTTCACAATTGAAATTTTTATTAAAAAAAATTTAGATCAAGTGAGATTTATGTCAATTAATGTTTCTAAGTTAAAATTTATATCAAGAAAGATTTAGATTTATGTCAATTAATGTTTCACAATTGAAATTTTTATCAAGAAAGATTTATGTAAAGTTATGTTTCTAAATTAAAATTTATATTATCAAAAAAGATTTAGATTTATGTCAATTAATGTTTCTCGATTAAAATTTTTTTCAAGAAAGATTTAGATCAAGTGAGATTTATGTCAATTAATGTTTATAATATTTCTATCAAACGAAGCATGTCGAAAATGTAAATATCAAACGTGATTCAGGTCAATTGAGATTAATTTCCATTTCACCTAAATTTTAGGTCAAGTTCCTATAAAATGAGATTTATGTAAATTAATGTTTGAATTCAAAGTAAAATTTTCCTTTTACATAATTTAGAGCACTTAAGATTTATCAGCAAGTGATTGTTTAAAAATTATGTAAAAATGTGATTTATGTGAAAAGAAATTTAGGTTAAGAAAGATTTATGCTAATTAATGTTTAATGTGTACATAGATTTATGTTTTGGTCCAGTGTAAATTATTCAATAAAGAACAAAGCAAAGAAGATTTATGTCCAACACTGTTGTCGATAAATGTGATTTATGTCAAAGAAAATTTACTATACTGAATAGAATTTAAGCCAATTAATGTTCATATGCTAAAAGATTTATGTATAAAATAGTTTTTGCCAAAGATTTAAGTAAACTGTGATTTATGTCAAGTAAATTTTAAATCAAGTGGAAGTTACGTCAAGTAAAAGTGTTCGTAATTAATGTTTATGTATTAAATGAAATTTTAATCCTGCCTAATTTATCCAATTTATGTAATTTAAGATTTGTTAAACATTAATAAAATCATATCCGTAGAGTTCCAACATAAAAATTTATGACTATAAGCTTAAAAAATAGGGAATAAAATATATCGGAGATTTATGTTTTTGTTAAAGAAGATTTATATTAAAGAAGATATATAAAGGAATGAGATTTATGCTAATTAATGTTTATGCCGAATGAGACTTATGTTAATTAATGTTTATGCCAAATGAGATTTTTATCACTTAATTTTTACATACCAAATAAGACTTCAATTATAAATAATTTAGATTATTTAATATTTAAATCGTAGTCACTGTATTTGTATTAAAGACAATATTCTGAATTAGAGATTTATGTCAAAGAAAATAGTAAAAATGAGATTTATGCTAATTAATGTTTATGCTAAATGAGATTAATGAAAAAAAGAGATTTATCCAAAGCAAGATTTACATCAAGTGAGATTTAACAACATTTCGGTTAAATTGAATTATTGGGAAACAACTTTAGGGCAAATTAGTTTTGCAAAAGAGTTTTTAGGTCAAGTGTGATTTATTTCGAGTAAATTTTAGGTCAATTGGGGATTATGTTAAACAGTTAAACAATGTTTAGGTCAAGTGGACACTATGTTAAAAAATAATTAAATCAAGTGGAGATTATAACGAACGATATTTAGGTCAATAATAGATTATGTCAAACAATATTTAGGTCAGTAAGAGATTAGGTCGAACAATATTTAGGTCAATAAGAGATCTAATTAAACAAGACTTATGTCAAAAAGATATTATGTCAAACAAAATTTAGGTCAATAAGAGATTAGATTAAACAATATTTAGGTCGGTAGGAGATTAGGTCGAACAATATTTAGGTCAATAAGAGATTGAATTAAACAATATTTAGGTCAATAAGAGATTAGGTCGAACAATATTTAGGTCCATAAGAGATTATGTCGAACAATATTTAGGTCCATAAGAAATTAGGTCGAACAATATTTAGGTCAATAAGAGATTATGTCAAACAATATTTAGGTCAATAAGAGATTAGGTTGAACAATATTTAGGTCCATAAGAAATTAGGTCGAACAATATTTAGGTCAATAAGAGATCGAATTAAACAATACTTAGGTCAATAAAATATTAGGTCAAACAGTATTTAGGTAAATAAGTGATTATGCCAAATAAAATTTAGGTCAATTAAGTAGTTTTCGAGCGAAATTCATGTGAATTTTGAGAACGAAAAATTCTAACGCCTACTAAACAGTCAGCGCCACTTGAGGTCCACAACTTCTACCTACTTCCAGTAGGGTTCCAAGTTCTCTAGGTGGGGACGCAGTAAAGCGCTAACTGGCGGTCGCAACAAGAAGTAAAATAGTTACAAGTACCAAAAAATCTCTCTTAGGCGCTACCCTCGCTCCTTTCGACCAATCACAATTCCTCTCTAACTTGTCCCCTTTCTTAAAACCTCAAATATTCTCCACTGCATCAATTCTATTCCACTTTACCACTTTCATGTCTCTCTCTCTCTCTCTCTCCATAATAATACCCTTTCAGCTGTATTAGCTTTAAAAAAAATTGTTGTTCATTCCATTTTAATATAATGGCTTGATGAGAAAATAAATTCAAAGAGCCGAAAAATTAGTGAATATCTTCAAAAACAATCACAATGCCACCGTTTATCTATACTACGGAACAAAAAATATGGATTGTCAAACAATTATTGTGTGGACATAGTGCTCGAAAAGTGAGAGACTTATTTGCCGTTGAATTTTCTGAATCACCGATTCCATCACTTCATACTGTGCAAATATGTCTTCAGAAATTCAATCAATTTGGATGTTTGAATAATGATCATAAGCATATCTTACACGTAAGTTGATTTAAATTAAATAGAAATATTTCTTTATTGGTGCGAGTATAGCGTCCTATAAAGAGCACGTTTTTAATTTTCATCACTAGCATGACAAACACAAAGCAAATAGTAGAAGCTGAAAAGCAGGGGCTGATTTGCATTGTTTAACCAATTAAATTTTGAAAGCAATTCTAATTATTCTATTTATTAATATTATATTGACATTCATTACTAGCGTTCTATTGTATTTTATATATTATTTGTACTATATTGCAACGAAAAAAAATATATTTAACCCAGAGGCAACTGGAAATTTTATTTGTTTCAAATAAATTTTCTTTGGTTTAAATAAATTTTACTTGTTTGAAATAAATTTTATTGGGTTTAAATAAAATTCTACTTGTTTTAATTAAATTTTATTTGGTTGAAATAAATTTTTACTTGTTTTAAATAAAAGTTCTATTTATGTGGAATAAAATTTTTATTTGAAACAAATAAATAGCCTGTAGTTGGATCTATGAAAAATATACTTATATTTAACTCGAATAAATTATATTTTGAGGCCTTGGATCGAATAACTCGCCCGACGTTCGAAGGAACGCCCAACTGCCAGTCAGTGAGCAGTAAGCGCCTCTGGGCCACTCACTGCTACCCAACTGGTATTATTGCGTGCCTCCGAGCGTCAGGCGAGTAATTCGATCCAAGGCCTCATTTATGGTTTAAAATAAAATTTTTCTCTGGATGTGTTGGTACACAATAATTTGATGTCTTAGTATATAAAACTAATACTAACAATCCGAATATCATATTTGACTTCAAATGTCATTTACAAATATTCATTCAATTTTTTGATAATAAGTAATACAATTTTCACAGGAATTGAATTATAAAAAATGTTTCATAAAATCCTTCAAAAAAAAAAAAAAAATCAATTTAAAAATTTTTTGGAAAATTCTACCGCAATAATTTAATTATATTTATAAGCCATAACAGTTTCCACAAAAATTCAATTATAATTATAATAAAATTCTTTTCAAAAATTCCATTATTTTTTAACTAATTGATAAATTCTTGAATTTTTTCTTTAATTCTTCACAATTATTAAATTATTTTTCAAAATAATAAAATTATTTACGCGAATTCAATTATTTAAAAAGAATTAAATAAAATTATTTGCAAGAATTCAATTATTTTCATAAATAATAAAATTCTTCTGAGAAATTAAATTATTTTTCAAAAAAAATTGATAAATTCTCTCTTTTGAATTCTTTATAATTATTCAATTATTTTCGTAAATAATAAAATTTTTCACGAGGATTCAATTATTTAAAAAAAATTAAGTAATATTGCACTAAAAAATTCAATTATTTTCATAAATAAAAAAATTCTTCTCAGAAATTCCATTATTTTTTTGAAAATTGATAAATTCTTGAATTTTTTCTTTAATTCATCACAATTGTTCAATTATTTTTCCAAATAATAAAGATTTTTATGATAATAAAGATAAGAATAATAATTGATTTAAAAACAAATTTCAGTTGAAATTTTAGATAATAATTGAATATTAAAAGCGTTATAGTTGAATTTTTTTAGAAATAATTAAATTTTAAAAGATTATTAAATTGAAATCGTTGAAAATTGTAATTGTTTCAAATATTGGATAAACGTTTAAATTTTTACTTTGAAATATTATTAATTTATTTTCTTAATTCCTGTGAACAATTTGAATTAAATTTTATTAAATAATTTTATTTTCTTACTTTCAAAAATTACTTTTAAATGCAATTGTATTTTTTAGGATAAAAATTTAGAAAATAATGGAATTTTTCAAAAATTTAGAATTAAAGTTCTCAGCAGTATTAGAATAAAAATAAATATTTTTGATTGAAATCAGGAAACAGTCAGGGAAATATTGAATCAAATTTTTGTGAATCGACTAAAACAATTTTTTTTTATTCGTTAAAATTAGTTTTCGATACCGCTACTTTTTTACTACTTTTTTCAGTATTAAAGCTATTTTTTGATACTTTTTTAAAATTAATTATTGAAAGTGAGATATACCATTTAATTGACTGAAATAAAAATTATTTGATTCAAGTAAATATTTAATTGATAATAGTTAAATAATCCGTTATTTGAATTAAATAAACTCTCTAAATTTTGAATTCGTAAAAATGTTTACTAATTTGAATTAATAAATTTTTTTAATTTATAGTAATTTCTACTAATTTATTAGTAAAATTTACTAATTTAAAAGCAAAAAGACAGTCACTTATTCAAATTAGTAAACATTTTTACTAATTCGAATTTAGAGTGAATTTTTGTTTCAGTGTAGAGTAATAATAATATTAATAAGAGTTATAATAATAATATTTATAATTATGATTATAATTATAATAAAAATCTATGTTTCAAAACAATTTTTTCTAAGGATATCAAATTGAGACAAAAAGTGAAGCAAAAATGTTGCGAAACAACATTTTGATTCGTTTTTGTCTCGATTTAATATCCTTTGAAAAAATATGTATAAATAAATAGTAATAATATTAATATAATAATAATAATAATAATAATAATAATAATAATAATAATAATAATTTATCCTTTCTTTTTAGAAAAAACGTGAAAAGTATCTCTTGACTGAAGAAGTACAAACAAGAATTTGTGCAAGCGTGGAGGAAAATCCAAATGTGACAAGTCGAGAAATCGCAGACGAAATGGGAATTTCAAAAACCTCAGTTCTAAAAACATTAAAAGACGCTGGCTATCATCAACAGCGAGAGAGTGTTATATCAGCAGACGGAAAGAAGAATTCATTTCGTGTTTGGTCAAGAGGAAATCCATTTGAAATTGTCACTGTCGAATATGGAAAAGAATAAAAAAAAAAAAAAAAAAAAAAACAGAACAACCAAATTTTTTCTAACGTAACGAATAATAATAATGTAAAATTGTTTTTTTAGAAAGAACGTGGTGAAAAGTATCTATTGACTGATGAAGTACAATCGAGAATTTGTGCAAGAGTGGAAGAAAATCCAAATATTGCCAGTCGAAAAATTGCCGAGGAAATTGGAGTTTCAAAGACATCTGTTTTAAAAACCTTAAAGGATTGTGGTTATCATCAACGACGTGAGAGTGTTATTGCAGCAGATGGAAAGAAAAATTCATTTCGCGTTTGGACAAAAGATAATCCATTTGAAATTGTTACTGTTGAATATGGAAATGAAGATGCGAATAAAGATGAGAATGAAGATACGATGGAAGATGCGAATGAATAAGGCAAATCGACTACTTTTGACGTATTTGAAATAAAAATGAAACAAGTATACGTGTGTGGTATGTTAAATATAAAGTAAGGAAACAAAAATGTAAATACTACTTCGTAAACAATTAAAAAACCTTTTTTTTATTTATGATAATAAAAATGTAATACTCTCTAAATTTGAATAGATTTTATTTCATTTCTTTGAAGTTATAAATCGTTTTCTCATTCAATGAACTCTTATTGTGCGTATTTTTCCATCTTTCTAAATTTTTAGTAAAAATATTTACTGATTTGAATCAGTGACTGACTTTTTGCTTTTGAATTAGTAAAATTTACTAATAAATCAGTATTATTACTATTTATTAGTAAAATTTATTCGTAAATTTTATTATAATAAATTTTTTATAATAATATCTAATTATTTATTATAATATTAGTAAATTTATTAGTAAATTTTATTATAATAAGTTTTTTATTATATTTATTATTAATATTAGTGAATTTATTAGTAAATTTTACTCATTCAAAAGCAAAAAGTTAATTACTGATTCAAAGTAGTCAACATTTTTACTAATTCCAATTCTCATACCAAGGAACGAGTAATAAATTTAAAAAAGTGAAACTTTACTTATTCAGCTTTAGAGAGTACATTTACTTTAGTTATTCTCTAATTATTTAATAATTAGTTATGCAAAAATGTTAAACTTGTGTTAAGAACGTATTCCATTTTTTTTGAACAAGTAATAATAAGTTATAAAATAAAGCGTACTTTTGAAATTTAGTTAATTAATCGATTTGTTTCTAATATCCTTCATTCTTTTGTATTGCAAGAAGTAGTAAAAAAAATTTTTTATCAGACAAACTTCGCACCATTTTCTTGAAAGTATCAAATTTATTATCAAATTGACTAAAATTGATCAAATTGATGCCAAAAGACAGAAAATACGTTCTAATTTCTTTGTCGTTTGTGAAAAAAAAAATTTTTTTTAAATACTGTCGAAAAAAATATTTGTAATTAAGATTAATTGAGAATTTTTTCGATTTATTTTTAAAAATTGTGACTTTTTCGACTTTTCTTCAAAATATTGCAAAAAAATATCACAATTTTTAGTAAAAAAAAGTGAAACGTACGTATTTCGATTCTTGGAATGTGAAAAATAACTATAAAAATATCTTTCAAAAATAATTTTTGAATCATTTTTTAAGATAATTAAATTTTTCAAATATATTTATCCAGAATAATTGAAATTTTATATTTTTATATTTTTTATATTTTATATTTGAATAATTGAAATTTTGTAAAATTTAATTGCAAATAGTTACTATTTTCAAGTATTTTGTTACAATTTTTGTAAATCAACTTTTAAAGAATTTTAACTACAAAAGACAATAAATGAATTATCAAAAATTTTAATGAAAAATTTTAAAATGTAAATCATTTTTTAAGATAATTCAATTTTTCAAATATATTTATCCAGAATAAAAAATCTATTTGAATAATTGAAATTTTGTAAAATTTAATTGAAAATAATTACTATTTTCAAGTATTTTGTTACAATTTTTGAAAATCAACTTTTGAAGAATTTTAATTGCAAATTTTTAAAATAAATGAATTATCAAAAATGTTAATGAAAAATCTTTAAATGTAAATTTAAAAATGAAAATTAATGAAAAGTAGCTTCTAATTTTTTATAGTTCCATATTTTATTTTATTCATTTATTCTTTTATTTATATTATTTTATTTATATCTTCAGTATTTTTATTTACATATTTCCGAAAATTCAAAAACATAAAAAAATATTAACATTTTAGAATTATTTTTAACACTTTGGAGACAAAAAATAAGTAATTTTTTAAAAATTATACAAAAACTCTGGAAATTCAATTATTTTCGAAAAATTACATTAAAAATATTTTTAAAAACTAATTCTTAGAATTGTTTAATCATAATTTTTTAAGATTCAATTATCATCGAACAAAGTAAATAAAAATTTACTTTTACAGAATTGTATTTAAATTTCGAAGAAATCATTGTCAAATATTTATAAGTAAAATTCGTTAAAAATTTGATTATATTTTTATTTATATTTTTAAAAAATTCAATTATTTTTAAAACATTTTACCAAATTTCAATTGTTTGGAAATTTTTCAATTGTATAATTAAAAAAACTATATCTTTCAAAAATTATTTTAAAATTAAAATAAAAAAGTAATTGTAAGAATTTCTTTATTATAATTTTTTGAAAATATTATACCTTCATAATAACTTAAAGAAAAAAACATAGACAATTACAATTATTATATAAAATTGAGGTTTTTTAATTAAATAATGGAATTCTAGAAGAAGTTTCCGAAATTTATTTAAAATAATTGATTTAAAGATGAAGTTAGTTTGCAAATTGGAGAAAATAATTGACTTCAGGAAGGATTTTAATTGTAATTTTTAAAAATGATTAAAATTCATAAATTTTACTCATTTTCCGTAAACTTTTTTATTTTTCTGTAAAAAAGAATTTTGACAGGGAAAATAATTTTAGTATCAGTAAATTTTTGCATAATTTTATTTAAAATTGTTATTCTTTTGAATAAGTAGATAATTTTTCTAAGTGGTAAAAGTCAGTTTTAATCAGACGATTTTTCAAAAAATATTATTTAATTTAATACCAGTAGAAAATGTCGTTTTCAGTCAGACAAGAATTTGCCTTTTTTGGAATTATCATCAGTAGGGAAAATAGGTATTTATCTGACAAAACATTTCACGTGCTTGCAATTTCGAAACATAATTATTATAATTAGAATTATTTTTATTTATTATGAATTACAATATTAATATTTTATTATATGATTATAATACATTATAATTTTTTTGGAAACTGTTCCTTTTGTCAGGCAATTCAGTAGAGAATTTTATTTTTAGTCAGACAAACTTTTTTACTTTTTCATAATTTTTAATTAAAAAGTAGTAAAAGTAAGTTTCAGTCAGACAAATAGAATTTTTAGGTATAAAATTGTACCAGTAGAAAAATACATTTTCAGTCAGACAAGTTTGAATCTTTTTTGTAATTAAGGTCAGTAAAGAAGTAAATGTAAAATAAGTAAGTATAAGTAAGTGTTAAAAAATTAAGAAAAAATAGTAGAGAAAGTAACTCACACTCAGACAAAAGTTTCAAAAATTTCTTTTAATTTAAAACAAGTAGAGAATATTTATTTTAGTCGGACATACGTCACATTTTTTACTCGATTATATTCGACAGTTTTTGCACAATATATAAGCTAAAACTGCATTTGCAATCTGTAAAGAGTATTAATTAATTAATTTCAAACTTTTTCAAAAAAAAATTTTTTTTTTCTTTTCTACTTAAATATGTATATATAATATTTTTTTTTGTCCAACATACGTTTATAAAAATATGTTTTACTCTTTTACCAATAGTTTAGAATAATATTTTGTAAAATAATTTAAATATTCTACTTTATAATTATTACAATTGAAATATAAAATAAAACTAAATAAATTTATAAGGAATCGTAAAAATATTTACCAAATGAATAATATTTAAATTCATATTGAGGTAACCACATACACTAAACGTAATTTTATTATTAAGACAGTATTCCGTAACTTCAAGATGATCCTGTAAAGTAAAATCATTCAGTTACGCTCAAGTATTTAACTAATTAAAACTTAAAAGTAAAAGTAATTTTTAAGAATTATTTTTAATAGATAATTACAAATTATTCATTTTACATTAATTATATTACGTAATAAAAATTAAAAAATTATTTTTAAAAAGTCAAGTACCATTTTTATAAGTTTATTGTCAATTGGAACTTTCTTCTTGAGAATATTATCGAAAAATTGATTAGCCTAAAACAAAAATAATTTAAATAGAATAAATTACATATTTAATAACCGAATAATCAACGTTTAATTATTATTTCCTTAATATTATTACGAAATTTTTTTTTCTAGAATTTTAAATTTAATTTGAAAATTTTACCTCAGAACTGCAGATATGAAACGATGCGCACACCGTGATGAAATTTAAAACCATGACACCAAAAAGTAATATATATGTTGTGTGTTGAGTGAAAAAATATTGGGAGATAATTATTTCGATTATTGCATAGTAAATATAACAAAAATGAGAAAATCCATAAAGATCATTTAAATCCTCAATTGATGTACAAAGTAATTTGTGCAAACTTTTTAAATTTTTAAATGCAATGTTGTTATTCTTCTTTTTAGAAAAATCTTTTTCCCAAATAATTTTTGGCACAAGACTGTTGTTTATGGTATAAAATTTTTTATACAAAATATATGCCTGACAACATAGATAAGTTGTTGAATATAATAAATGAAAATATAGAAATCGATTTATCCGATTTACATAAAATAGAGAGCCACTTAAGTCAAATATTTTTCTACAAATTAAATATATAGTTAATGCCAATAAATAAATAATCATCGTTCCTTTAAAAAACCAGAAATTTATATTTTCTTCTAAACAATCATATTGTTTAAAAATTCTATCCACTTCAGAGAGCTTTTTATGAAACTGAAAACAAATTTAAATTTATTATAAAATGATTTTTTCAATTCTAAACTATCTAATTATTATTTTATTAATTATTAATTTTTTATTTTAATTTATCAATTAATTATTTTAATATTATTTATTATTTAATTATTAATTATTTAATTATAAAATATTTAATTATAAATTATAAAAATTCATTGTGTTAAGATAGTTAATTGCTAATATCAATACGTAAGAATTATAATAATATTATAACAACAAATAGTATAACTATTAATATAAATAAAAATTAAATCACAAAAATTATTCACTAACTTTAAAGAGTCGATCTTGACGACATATAACAATGACTTGAATATTTATAATTTGTATTAAATTTGTCACTTCTAGAAAAAAAAGTTGGAATAAATCCACTTTAAAATCGTATAATAACCATACATATGTAGATATTCTTGTATAAATAAAAACAAAGGTAAGAATACACAAGAAGAGTAGAGCGTATATTTGATTAATAACACGATAAATGCGTTTATTTGACGAAAACAATGGTATTATGGCCAAAATTTTGAAAATCGTTGCAAATGGATATTGACATTCCATAATATTAAGTCGTTTTACTTTTAAGCTCAAAGTGAAACTAAAAATAATGACAATAAATGTAGTT